CTATTTTTGGATTTTTTTTCCGTGCTAAAATCCCTTGACACTTTAATTTAGATCATTTTTTTTCAGTTTGGTACCACTGTGCGGCGCTCTCGCGTAGCGACACGTCAAATGCGAGGCTTAGAGGGAGGGAAAACATAAAGGCAGCTCTCGGCCCGACTCACCACCTCTTCTACGTCCGATCCCGGTCGCCTGAATTGTACCCTGTCCTCCTGGAACAAAATAACGATAGGTGAGCCCGGATGCCTCGTCGTTCTCCCTTGACGTGGTGATGATCGGCTCCCTCGTTCGGCCGCCGAAACACACACACACACTCTACGCACTCGAGCTCCAGTCAAGCCGACTGCTCTCCTCACGAAAAGGGCTTAGGGTGATTTCACCCGCAGGGCTCGATCAAGAGTCAATCTAGACATCCAGAGTCACCCTGGATGCCGCGCACACTCACACAACGTACCAGACACACGACTAGACAAAGTCTATAATAACCACGTACAGTGCACGATCTCACGATCTCTCGAAGTCCACCGTTGCTCTGCGCGCGCGTAGCTTCTGTCTACCGCACCGCTATCTTCATGTTTTAAATTTTGATGTACGTCGTCCCACTTTACACGCTCTTGTGCGTCGGCGAGATCCTCGCTGTCGCTCGAGCCATCATTGTGCTGTAACGTCCCACGGGGCAGTCCCATCATCGTTCCTGCGTCCCATGGCGTTGAAGACGCTCATGGCTCCGCAGACCGCCAGCCAAGCACCATTTTGCGCGGAGCCTTGGCTGGCGGCTAGCTATTTCTTGGCGTCTCTCCTGGGCGCCCACCCTCGGTTGGCAGGTTCCTTAGCCCTGAGTCTGTCAGAGCGCCGAGCATGTCGGCACCTCCCGCTCGCCTAGATGGTTTTCAATTACTTGAGCAAGATTTTAAATCAATGAATTTGTGTCCAGAAATAGATTCTATGCAATTAAAACACTTCATGGATGTTATTTGGAATAATAGTGATACCTTGAATGATAAAGATAAAACGGTTAATGAATTAAAACAATCTCTTTTATCTTTTAAAGACAATCAAAGTAATTATTTTATATTTTTTTCAACTGGTATCATAACTTGAAAATGATAATTTTATTTAATTTCAGATTCATACATTGCAACTAGTCTCCTGCTATTAAATCACATTTTCCCCCCAAAGAAAATAGTAAAAATAAGTAAGACTGTGTCTTATAAGCCATCAATTCGCAGTACTAAAGATAGTATGATAAAATTTTCACACCTTAGTTAAATTACTACTAAATTTTTTAAATATTTTATACTTATTTTTGACAAAAAACGCGAGAGACGCAACGATTCGAACGAATTAAGATTATTATGATAACCAGAAAATACGTACAATATCATAATGAAAATATACAAAGACTTGAAATCATAAGAGCTAATAGAAAAGTAGAAAAATAACTAAAGTGCTCGTCGTATGCAAGAAAAAAATCGAATTTCGAGAGCCCGCAAGCTACCTCAGGACAAAAACGTAGCAAGACTCGTTGCGGGGACGTTTTTCGAATGAATCAATTTGACAACAACCTGGTAAATCTGCGTGTGTTTCTCGACGAATGCTCGAAGTGAGCAAGCAAAATATCGACTTTCGAGAGCGCGACAAGTTAACTAACGATAAAGCTTGAAGGGGGAAAGGTACCTAAAATCTCAACAAAAAAATTTTTTTTATTGACTTTTTTGATAGGATTTTTCTTCAGCTTTCCAGTACCGTGATCAGAATTTTAAAATTTTAACTTCAACGTGATGTACAGCCTATTTAGTACCGATACTTTTACGATTATTTAGAAAAAATGAATGAAACGACTCAACGATATCGTTCCCATTCTCTCATGAATCTCGAGAATTTCATAAGTCGGTAGCGCCATCTATTGATACTCGTTTTATTTCTTGTTTAGAGTACATCTAGCAGAAACTTGTTTGTTTACATGGCTATAGGTGTACAGTAACGCCACCACTCGCAGCACGTAGTAGGTTTCTGCATATCTTCTGTCTCTCTCTGTTTCGTGCGCGAGCCCGGATCAAATGTCAATAACAGTCTGCTGACTGCTTCTTGATTTCCCAATGGCTAAAACATACGACCGACCAAGACTGACTATTATTACAAGAAAACTAAACGCTTGCGACGTCTTCGACGCGACTCGGCGATGTCATCTGCTGGCTGCTGCTTGTTGTTGGCGAGGTTACGTCCGAGTTGGTGGATCGCGGATCGGCGCCGTTTCTCGCTCGCTGCGTCGCTCTCTCGTGAGTTCGTGGATCGGCGCCGTTTCTCGATGGCGACCTAACCTCGCTCATTGTCTGGTGGATCGGCGTCGCTTCTCACTTAGCGACAGACTTCACGTGGCACTCGCACTGTCCTTCCTCTCGCACGATGCCACCTCGGACACCGTGACGGTGTTATTCGTGCACTACACGGCACACACACGCACTTCGTGAGGCGCGACTCGCACCGGTTGTCGTCGAGCTCAACACGCTCCTAGCCTCTTTTCACTGCTCGCTATCTCCGCGTACTTCGCCTCGGACCCGCTTGTTACGCGCAAGTGCACTCGGTCGCTCTGCTTCTCTGTGGCTTGCACTTTGCATCGGACTCACTAGCTATCTTCTCACTAGCTTCTCTCACAAACTTACAAATTCTACCACGTTGCGGTGCGTACTCGATCAAGCGGTTACGTGTAATGGCTGCTTCACGTGTCATCTTCTTCGCCTTCGTCTTTCTCCTCGCTGCTTGCTGCGCTGCTGCTGCTGCTGTTGCGACTTGCAGCCGCGCCGCTCGCTCAGCCGGTAACAGGCACGTGCCTACACTGCCGCGGCACGTGGAGGTTAGAAGCGCTTAGCTCCTCCTTCACCCTATGGGCGTCTCTACATACCCCGTTTGCTTAGCGTGTCGTGACGCGTAAATCAGGGTGTCAACTACAAAATAAAATGTTGTACAATGTCACGTTGTCGTAGATGAAAAGTCCTGAGAAGGACGGATACCAAGCTAGGCTGATGGTAAGAGTGGTCAAGGGATGACCGTTCGCTGACCCACGTTCTGATGACGAGGACTTCTCCGTTCTGTTCTTAGCTCTGCTTCTCTTCAAGCCGAGGGCCTCCTGAAGGGTGAGGAACGAGAGTTTCGGGGAGAGCGTGGCTCGGCTTTTGGCTTAGGAGCACGTTGAGCCGGGCAGAGCGAGATAGCTGCCCTTGGTAGTTTGTGTAGTTGTGGATGAGAGGCAACGTATTCGTCAAGAGCGTTGGCTGGTCGTAACGGTTCGTCCGGGACCGTCTTCTTCGCTACCGACACTTCCCACAGTGGCGGTCGGACCGGTGGTACTGTGACCCTGGTCAGTTGGTCTTGTCGCTGACACGTTTGCTCGTCAGACGACCGAGGCTCAGTGACCGTCGGGAGAGTGCGGTTAGCGGATGCTGTGGATTGAAGTGGCGCGGTCGTGAGAGCGACCACGGGCTCAGAGTCGGCTTCTCTGTTTGCCACAGTCCTCTTCCACGGATGTGGGCAAGGCACTGGCAAAGGGAGATGAGGCCACGTGTGCAGCAACGCGCACGAGCGGCTGGTATAGGTGGACCCTGGCAATGAAATCAAACTACAGAGGGTCTTGACTTTTTCAATGGCTCGTTGACGAGTCTTGACGATATCTTCGCCAGCCGGCACAGCCTGTATAACGCAACGTCGTTCCAAAGCGCCCGACACGAGAGGATGGCCTCGTCGCAGAAGAACAGCCCTCCCTCTCTTTTTTCTTTGGATTGGCGCTGTGATCGATTTCCCTCTTCGGGTCGAGACAATCGGAGGCGACAAAAAGACTCGAGTACGAGTCCAACTACTTTTCTGTTTTGACAAACAGTCAAAAGTATCGTGACAACTGTTTACTCACTTTTCTGTTTCCACTCGTACAAGTTGAACAGTCAAAAGTTAAGAAGACAAAAGTCCAATCACTTTTCTATTCTCACTTGCAACAAGTCGAACAGTCAAAAGCTGATTGAATAAGGTCGAAAGGCACTTATACTAGTATTCTAAACTCGACCTTTTCTCATGCGGATACGACTTTTTTCTGGCGCCTCGCCACCTGGCGGCCGAGTCGGAAACTTGCAAAAGTAAAAAGTGGGGAAAGGTTGTGAAATGACAAGGCGAATATGTTTTTTGCAAATTAGACCAAGTTCACTATTGAATAAAGTCCCTAGGTCGCAACTCTCAATAGCTCGTCGCCGCGAACGCGAGGACGAGAGTCGATGTGCTCTGGCTGGCAGCCGAGAGACGACTTCCCTTTGCGTGGCCAGGCACCTCGCTTATATAGGAAGCGAGTGCGCGCTGATTGGCCATCGGCGCAAAGGTGGGGACGAGTGCTGCTGTGTACGTCGCCAGAGTGGGGACGCACGCAGTGGTGTGGCAATGCGTATGAGGGTAACAAAAATATCAACCTATATGCGATTGAGGTAGCAGAAAACAGTAACCTCACAGTGTTTGCATCGTGTTAGCGTTTAATCGATTTTCGGAGCAACGTGCATAATTAAACGCGATGGACAATCAAGAAATCGTAAATTTGTATGACATCTGGACAACATATCAGAATGTACTTTCTATAAATACGCGAAAAGAGAAAGAGAGACGTTGGTGGAAACCGCATTTAATGCATAATTATTTGAGTGGATATGGTGGCTATAGAAAAGTATTCATGTACTTTAAAATGAACGACGAAGAAGAATTTTATAGATTCACCAATTTTACGATCCACGAATTCAATTACATTTTCGATTTTTTACAACCTTACTTGGTGAAAGAAAGTTTTCGACCAGCCTTGCCTGCGGAATTCCGTTTTGCAGCTGTACTAAAGTAAGAAAAAAACATTACATATATACATGCATTTTTTACTGATTGAAAATGTAAATTTTATTTTTTTGATGTTTATAGTTATTTAGCTAAAGCTGACAGCATACAAAAAGATGCATGGTTTGTTTTGCATAGGGGCATCCACCATGTATGCTATTGTTCCTGAAGTTTGCAGCCTCATTAGAAAAGTATTGGGTCCAAAGTATTTGAAAAGGCCTTCAACTGCAGATTTCAGAAGAATAGCTGAAGAATTTGACGAATTACATTTCCCTCATTGCATTGGTGCAATTGACGGCAGGCATTGTCCTATACGCAGTCCTAAGCACAGTGGCAGTGCATTCTTTAATTACAAAAAATTTAACAGCATTGTGTTGATGATGGCTATTTGTGACAGACATGAAAGATTCACAATGATCAATTTAAGAGGCTATGGTAATGTATAAAAATAATGTGCTAATATATTTTAAAATTATTCTATCTAATAAATACATTATTGGAGGCTCTACAAATGATGCTTTTACATTAAATAATAGTGACATAAGTGAGATGTTGGAGAACGATCCAAGAGCTTTACCGGCACCAGAGATGCTACCTAACTCCAACACTGTTGCTCCATTTTATTTATTGGGAGATGGTGGTTTTCCACTCAAAAGCTACCTGATGAAACCATATATGAAAGTACGCCACATGACACCAGAGATGCAAGTATTCAACTACCGCCTCAGTCATGCAAGACAAACCATTGAGTGCGCCTTTGGTAGATTAAGAAATCAATGGGCAGTTAATCACACTGAGCTGGCATGGAAACTAGAGACATGTGAAGAAATCATACATTCGACAATTTGTTTACATAATTACAAAATCACAATGGAATTGAGAGAAACAAGAGGATTCAGAAATCATTGGATAGATGCTCCATTTGGATTTGTGGAGCAAGTAGACAACGTTCAAGTAAATTTTCATTTTCATGCTCATCAATTAAGACACACTTTGTCTGAATATATGGTTTCGCGACATGGATCAGTTCCATGGCAGTGGCAGCACATTTAAGTGAAAGGTGTGTAATTAATAAAAGTGAAAAATTTTCAATACCTTTTATTTTTTTTTCAAAATGAGTTTTGTTAATATTTACAAAAAGCTTATTAAAAAGTGATATTTGCAAAAGTGACAAGTGGTTTTTTTTGTATTGATTTTACAAACATAGAAAATGATTTTAAGGCCTTGAGGATTCGTGACAAGGCAAGGCACTGATTGGTAAAACTTTTCTGATCATTTATTGCATCGTTCAACACCTCGATTATCAACAACTTGATGCGGTGATTGGCAACTTGTTGAACTGTCTGTTGCTTGTTGAATTGTGATGCTTGTTGAACTGTCTCTTTGTTTTTTGATTCAAAAAAATTTTTAAAATTTTATAAAAAGAAGTTATGCTTGTTATTACTTAAATTATAATAGCTTATAGTTAATATTATGACGGCGCATCCGCGCGGGCGACGTACGCCTCGCCTTTCGCTCGTAGATGCCCCGCAATTTGGCTTTGTCGTTTCGGTGTGCTCGTCGGCTTTACCGCAAGCGCGGAGCGCCAGACGACCGCCACAAACACACTCTCCTACTCGAGTACCTGGCCGGCTAGCCCCAGTACCCCGCACTCGCTCAGGGCTACGCGAATTCGATGCAGCGCTAGGTCTGCTCTACCGCGCCGATGTGTCGCGCCTATCTCCGCGTCCCTACCTATCTCGCGCCTAAATCTGGACGAGTTTACTCGCGTTCGCGAGGCCAAGAGGCTGGTCGTGCCAAAGCACGGGTCGCCTGAGGGCCTTGAGGCCGCGTCGCGCCGAACCCAGATGACGAGGCTAATCCCCACGTCCTCTTTCACACTCACACACTCACTCACTCTCGCACTTGCTAGTGCAACGTCTGCGACTCACACACCCGACGAGGCTGTTTGCTGGCACACCTATGCGCCACGCAAACACACACGTATCACACGGCGTGATCCACACTCACAACGCAATCACACAGCAAGTACAACTACTCACCAAAACGCTGTGGTTATCTCACGCAAAATCGTACGAAAGTATCTCTTAGCTAATGCTTCGAGTTGGGCTGCCGTCCGATCGATTCCGCAATCGGTCAACTACTGTCGCGACTCGACTCGCGGCCTCGCGCGTGGCCGCTCACACTTCCCTCTCTCTGCGTCCCCCACGTGAGCCGCCCGTCCGGCCCGCAGACTACCGAGTCCATGCGAGAGCGTCGCTCCGATTGAGTTCGACTCCGCATTGACTCGGCGTGTCACAGCGGGCCGTTACGCGGCCACAACGTCACAATATACGAATGTTCTAACTTTATTAACCTTTTCAAAAGTTGACAGAGGCAATTGAGCTTTTTGATCAGTTGTGGACTTAACAATGTCTTTGCAATTCTGGAACGAATATCACAACACAAGTTAGTTGGAGGAGCTCGCGAGGAGTACTTACGCCAATAGAATACAATAGACTCGTTGATATTCGTATGCGCGTGCTCCGCTCGGTCGACGGCAAGTCGGACCTTGTTAAGGGGAGGTCAATGACCCGCGAGTCATGAGACTCAGGTGGCGCGACTCTTTCCTTTAGGAAATCTGGCCCGAGTTACGGGTCGGCGGGGCACTTGCCCGGGTTGACACTCGAACACGGGGTCGATCGCGAAAAGGGGAAGAGGGAATATCGGCGCTTGGTATCGGAACCTTGCACTGAGATATTCTCGTTCGATGGACTATGTCCGTTAATTAGTTCTGAGACTAAGTTCGTTGATCGTTCTCGAGATCAAGTCCGCGAGACAGCTCCGTGGTCAAGTTCTTCACGGATATTCTCCTATCAAAGCTCAAGTCCAACAGAGGTTGTCTATGCAACTATTTCGCAAGTCGATCAGCCAAGAGCTTTGGGGGATGCTCAGGTGGTTGTTCAAGAATGAATGACGACGCGACGAAGGGCTGCACTCCTTACATACTCGACGGGACATCGGCAGCGCGAGGAGGAAAAGGGAGGGGAGCCGCCGGTCGGGTGATCAAGCCACCGGTTTTTGGTGGCTAGAGGGTATAGGAGAGAGCGCCAATGATTGTGCGGTAGGCGGGGTTGCGCCGATTTCGGAGAAACGTCGTTGGAGTTTTTGGTGTCGGCGCAGGTTCGGGGAAGTTGTCTATCTCGGTATGCATTTGGTGGCTGCGCCTCTCATCGTGGGTTCGGGAAATTGCGGCGGCGTCTTTCATCGCGAGTGCGGAGAAATGGCCTACTTCGGTATGCATTTGGCGGCGGTGAGTTCGGAATAATTGCGGCGGTGCCTTTTATCTCGCGTTCGGAGAAATGCTTGTTTGGCGGTGCGCTTTTATCCCGATGGGCTTTTTGATCTTCATATGCAGGTGTCTGGTTTTCTATCTTATCGATCTCCGGTCTTTTCTCTGGTTGGTAAGGTAGGTTCTGTGTGCGCGCGTGTTTTTTCTTTTTTTTTTTGGACTTGGGCAGAGTGAACTCTGCAGCCAGTGGCCCTTCGAAACGAGTACCTCACTGGTACTCAGTTCGAAGATCAGTAACTGCGTAGTAGACAACCGCGCGTGAGGTACGCGTACCGGCTGCTATATGGGGGAATCCGTGAAACTCGCGACTCCGATATTCTTTTACACAGGAACGAAGTCCTTATAGAAAACTATTGTTAATCGAACTTGATTCGTGACAATAGTACTATAAGCGCAAAGTAAAGTGAGGACATATCACCAGCCCGAAGCAGGAAAGACCGTCAAATTAGAAATTTCAACACAATTAATAATTTTGCACAGTTCCAAAGATAAAATAAATAAAGATAAAATTTCCTATAATCAGTCTAACAGTGTGTTTATGAACCCCGCTTAAATTTTATCATTGAGTATAAAGAAATATAAAATTACAAGAAATATTGAACCTCGCACTCTGCGACAAAAAGGGACATTTACAGACAATAATTATTACGCCGCGCACGCGCGCTTATGCGAAAAGGTTCAATATTCTTGCAATGGCATCCACGCTTGTGGGGAACACCAACTAGACTGATTATCGAATATCACTGCCTTATAAAACAAAGTTTAAGTTAAATGCGCAATCACAATCTGTTAGATTAAATTGCAAATTGTGCACTGTATAAAATCAAATAATAATTAATTAAATAATTGAAAAAAAATAGCAAAATCCGTAACATCTTAGTTTCTTCTTCTCTGTAAAATCAATAAATGAAAACCCGAGAACAGTTTTGCAACTGCTAAAATAACACGAAGTAAACACACTGGAAGCACTGTACCTTGTAGATAAAATACACGAAACAAGTGAATACTTGCGTGAACAAAGCATAAATTTCTCACACAATTATTCAAAAGGGCTAGCTAGAGAGAGGAAAAACAGAAAAACAAGCCTGTCGCAGCGCTTGAGACCTGTATCCCCTATAAGCAAGAGAGGGTAGGACAATGTTTCAAACACCCGCCATCAAAGACCATGAGGAGGAGCAGGGAGGAAATGCAGAAAACAATGCGGAAAACACCGAACACGATGGCGCCGCAGCACCGAACACCGTCACAACGCGAGCGAAGGCGAAGAAAAACACAAAAAAGAAAGAACAAGTCGAAAACGCGTTTCAATTCCCGCCGCGCGAAGACACAGTAGAAAACACGGACGCGATATACGATCGAATTACGCGAAGATGCGAAGAACGCGTACAGAGAATAGGCGATGAAATGACGCGTGCTGTACGGGAGACTATTCAAAGACTCGAACAACTGTACGTGAACGACGTCGCGAGACGAAGCGAGCAAGTGAAACAGAGCGTCGAGCCGAAACATAATGTGCAATCTAACGTACAAGTACCACCGCCTCAACGACAACAACCTCCGCCAATACGAGTACGCACAGACCAAGCGACGGGACAGGAAAATTCACCTATACAGGGTACAGGCGAGCATTCGATAACAGGTGCGCAAGCACAACAACAATTTGTCCTACAAGCATCACAGCCAAGACCGTACGGCCTACAGCCAAGCTGACGATACCGACCCTCTCAGCGGCAGAATACGAGAAGCCGATGCAATTCTTGCGTGATTTCATGGATTATTACCACGCAGTCGGTTTGACTGAATGGCATTTCTACCATGTAATTAAGCAAGCGCTACGCGGAAGCGCCGGTGAATGGTGGTATCATATAAGCGACAACGTAACCTCAATCGCTGATTTTGAACGACGATTTAAGGAACGATTCTGGAGCCGCATGATTCAAGCGCGTAAACGCGAGCAGCTCGAGACGGGATTTTATAACGCCGATAAAAATCAGAGTCGTAGCAAATACGTCATCGCAATATACAACCAAATCAAAGCTTTAGACGCTCCACCAGCAGAAATCGATATGATCGACAAATTTTTGCGACACTTCGATTTTGAAACACAGAATGCAATTATCGCGCAGAGAATCCATCGCGTAAACGAATTAATCGAATTTCTCGATCGTCTGGACAATGCCGGTAAATTGAACATGGAAAAAGCCCCCGAAAGAACTTCTTTCGTTTGACGCGAACCGTACTGGACACGTCTACCGGAGAATCACGGGCCGAATCATGTCAAGACCGACATACCCGCGACACGAAGATTATCAGCGCGATTATAGGCGCGATAACGGGAGAAATAATCCACCGAATCGGCCCGCACATGTTCATGAGATCGACTGCCGCGAAACCGAGAGTAACGAGACAGAGACCGAACTCCCACAACCCGAGCAGGGAAACGAATAATGGCTGCGTGCGAGCAAGCGACGCACGTAGCCGAGAACATCGCGACGCTGTTCGAAGAGTTCGAGACGCAAGAAAACCCCGGAGACGAGGCGAGGGGGGCAGAGAAAATAAGATGCCCACACGTCGACATCATTTTAAATTCGCGGGTCGAAATACAGGCTCTCGTGGACACAGGCGCAACTGTAACTTGCCTCCAAGAGGAATTTTTTAAGGCGAATAAAGAAAATTTCAAGAATTTACCAATACTGTAAATACAGTCGTGACAGGATTCCGT